TTTCTTTTAATTTCTATTAAATTTTAATTAAAAATTTTCAAATATCCTTTAAAGCTAAATTTCCATTGAAAACATTACTTAAAGCTAGTGAAGAGAGATAGGGAGTATATTTTAATATATACTATATTAGGGAATTACAAATGAATTTATTTATGTATTTCATCGGGTATGAGGAAAAGCCTTAAAATATTTCATTACGATAATTGTTTATAAAATTCTTAATTAGGTCGGGTAACTCGGGAGCATGACATATGAATTTGTGGCCATATTTACGGGAACCTTCAAAGCGATGAAATTCTACTGGACCCCAGGCTTTGCCGCGTGTATCCAAAGCTATGCGATACAGTCTATAGCCCAGCTGGAAGGGCACTACATAGTCATCTTCAGCGTGTACAATTAAAATGGGTTGTCTAAATTCGCTGATATGTTGATCGGATTCAAAGCGCAAAGAATTTGCATACATGGGACGTGAGATGGTGTGATCAAACCAGGGTAAATGTTTAAAAGGCTAGAAATTTAGAAGATTCAAAAATAATTTAAAATCTTGTTGAATTTTAGGTAACTTTTCTTAAACTTACCCTAGCAAAAGGATGCATTCTAATTTCATCTCTTATATTCGTAAAGGGAGCCTCCAAGATGACTCCTCTAACACCCTTCTCATCCAGATTATTCAGTTTAGACAACATATTAGTGGCCACTCCTGTGCCCAATGAATGACCCCATATGAATACCGGATTTGTGGTAATATTACGTATGTAATAATAAACCGCCAGAGCATCTCGTACAACACCCTCTTCTGTAGGTGAAACAGCATCCGAATCACCATAGCCTCTATAGTCGAATGAAATGACATGATAACCTAAATTGCGTAGCAATTTATAGACATCTATACGATGTCCTGAACCCCTAGAAGCCGTATTGCCATGACAATACAACACAATATTATTATCGGGCATTTTCAATAGACGTTCATAGAAAAGTTGTTCATTTTCCGAATTCACTATGGGGAAAGTGGATTTGAGCACCGGCTCTAATTCGTCCAAGTTCTCATCTTTAATATCGGTTACATTCTGCAAGTCTTCATGTGCATCCTAGAAACGAAATTTTTAAACATTATAAAATGTTTCAATATTTTTGCAAATATAATAGCCTACAGTCTATAGTCTAGTCTATTGTCTAGTATATAGTCTTGTCTATAGTCTAGTCTATAGTCTATTTCTATAGTCTAGTCAATGGTCTAGCCTATAGTGTAGTCTACAGTCTAGTCTATAGTCTAGTCTACAGTCTAGTCTACAGTCTAGTCTATAGTCTAGTCTATAGTCTAGTCTATAGTCTAGTCTATAGTCTAGTCTATAGTCTAGTCTATAGTCTAGTCTATAGTCTAGTCTATAATCTAGTCTATAGTCTAGTCTAGTCTAGTCTATAGTCTAGTCTATAGTCTAGTCTATAGTCTAGTCTATAGTCTAGTCTATAGTCTAGTCTATAGTCTAGTCTATAGTCTAGTCTATAGTCTAGTCTATAGTCTAGTCTATAGTCTAGTCTATAGTCCCTAGTCTAGTATAGTCTAGTCTATAGTCTAGTCTATAGTCTAGTCTATAGTCTAGTCTATAGTCTAGTCTAAGTCTAGTCTAGTCTAGTCTATAGTCTAGTCTATAGTCTAGTCTATAGTCTAGTCTATAGTCTAGTCTATAGTCTAGTCTAGTTAGTCTATAGTCTAGTCTATAGTCTAGTCTATAGTCTAGTCTATAGTCTAGTCTATAGTCTAGTCTATAGTCTAGTCTATAGTCTAGTCTATAGTCTAGTCTATAGTCTAGTCTATAGTCTAGTCTATAGTCTTGTCTATAGTCTAGTCTATAGTCTAGTCTATAGTCTAGTCTATAGTCTAGTCTATAGTCTAGTCTATAGTCTAGTCTATAGTCTAGTCTATAGTCTAGTCTATAGTCTAGTCTATAGTCTAGTCTATAGTCTAGTCTATAGTCTAGTCTATAGTCTAGTCTATAGTCTAGTCTATAGTCTAGTCTATAGTCTAGTCTATAGTCTAGTCTATAGTCTAGTCTATAGTCTAGTCTATAGTCTAGTCTATAGTCTAGTCTATAGTCTAGTCTATAGTCTAGTCTATAGTCTAGTCTATAGTCTAGTCTATAGTCTAGTCTATAGTCTAGTCTATAGTCTAGTCTATAGTCTAGTCTATAGTCTAGTCTATAGTCTAGTCTATAGTCTAGTCTATAGTCTTGTCTATAGTCTAGTCTATAGTCTAGTCTATAGTCTAGTCTATAGTCTAGTCTATAGTCTAGTCTATAGTCTAGTCTATAGTCTAGTCTATAGTCTAGTCTATAGTCTAGTCTATAGTCTAGTCTATAGTCTAGTCTATAGTCTAGTCTATAGTCTAGTCTATAGTCTAGTCTATAGTCTAGTCTATAGTCTAGTCTATAGTCAGTCTATAGTCTAGTCTATAGTCTAGTCTATAGTCTAGTCTATAGTCTATAGTCTAGTCTATAGTCTAGTCTATAGTCTAGTCTAGTCTAGTCTAGTCATAGTTAGTCTATAGTCTAGTCTATAGTCTAGTCTATAGTCTAGTCTATAGTCTAGTCTATAGTCTAGTCTATAGTCTAGTCTATAGTCTAGTCTATAGTCTAGTCTATAGTCTAGTCTATAGTCTAGTCTATAGTCTAGTCTATAGTCTAGTCTATAGTCTAGTCTATAGTCTAGTCTATAGTCTAGTCTATAGTCTAGTCTATAGTCTAGTCATATAGTCTAGTCTATAGTCTAGTCTATAGTTCTAGTCTATAGTCTAGTCTATAGTCTAGTCTATAGTCTAGTCTATAGTCTAGTCTATAGTCTAGTCTATAGTCTAGTCTATAGTCTAGTCTATAGTCTAGTCTATAGTCTAGTCTATAGTCTAGTCTATAGTCTAGTCTATAGTCTAGTCTATAGTCTAGTCTATAGTCTAGTCTATAGTCTAGTCTATAGTCTAGTCTATAGTTCTAGTCTATAGTCTAGTCTATAGTCTAGGTCTATAGTCTAGTCTATAGTCTAGTCTATAGTCTAGTCTATAGTCTAGTCCTATAGTCTAGTCTATAGTCGTAGTCTATAGTCTAGTCTATAGTCTAGTCTATAGTCTAGTCTATAGTCTAGCCTATAGTCTAGTCTATAGTCTAGTCTATAGTCTAGTCTATAGTCTAGTCTATAGTCTAGTCTAATAGTCTAGCTATCTAGTCTATAGTCTAGTCTATAGTCTAGTCTATAGTCTAGTCTAGCTAGTCTAGTCTATGGTCTAGTCTATAGTCTAGTCTATAGTCTAGTCTATAGTCTAGTCTATAGTCTAGTCTATAGTCTAGTCTATAGTCTAGTCTATAGTTTAGTCTATAGTCTATTCTATAGTCTAGTCTATAGTCTAGTCTATTGTCTAGTCTATAGTCTAGTCTATTGTCTAGTCTATAGTTTATACAAACAATTTCTTTACAGAACATTTTCAAAAATTTCAAACTTACTGGACCCAATTGCATTTCCTTGGCGAAGCGTTTTACCACTTGTTTGGGTAAAACATGCCAGACACCAATGCGAACAGTGGCCGGTTTGTGGCTTACCACACCGTGATCACTGTCATCCTGTTCCTTTTCCACATCACTGTCGGGTACATCTAGGAAAAAACTTCTGGTGGCATAAAGACCCACACTAGAAGGATTATTTAAGTCGAGATCTCTAGGATATGTGACTGCAAAAAAAAAAAACACAATTATAAAACAAAGATTTAAATAAAAAATTTCAAATACTTACTAAATGTTAAAAATAATATGCCTCTTTGTATCGTTACCGAATAACGAAATATTAGGGGTAATACTATGAATACAACTGAGAATCCTATTAAACATATTTGTACTGTTGCTAAAGATATTCTGTAATTATAAAAACGTAAACATGAAAAGAAGAAAATAAAATAAATAAAATTAAAACGTAAGTATTAATATTTTAAGAAATAAATAATTTTGAATTCATTTTAATGAAAACGTTATGTACCCTTCTAACGAAAACATAAACGATTTATTAATAAATAAGTTTAATTTAAATTATATTAAGTGAAATTAACTGTAAAACTAAAAAAGTTTAAATAGTTTACTTTAAATTAATGTTTGTGTAAGTGGTGTTATTATTAGTATCTTAAAAAAATTTGCTTAATTTATAAACGAACGTGTTATTTTTGAGAAATATTTGAAATACTATATTTGAATTTTTTGTTTGAATAAAAATAAAACGTTTAATAATAAAAATAATAAATACAGTGCAGTACAATAATATGTACACACTAATGGTCTATACCGCGCAAAAATACTATCAGTATTATGGCTGTAGTTGTGTCCATCTTGGTTCATTTAATGGTTGTACTATATAGTACCTTTTTCATTATTCCCTAACAATGACTCGCTGTAGTTAAATGAGTAAGAGAATTTAAAACTTACGACATTTTTGTTCAGTTTTAAGAAGAACATTTGTTATAGTTTCGCTGCTCCAAGGTTAACTGTATAAAAATTATAAACCAGTTAAAACTCGTCTACGAAAGAAATGTCACAAACATAAAAACAACTAACAGATGCTTGGTGATATTGCGTTTAAAGATAATATGTTTAGATAGCGTTTGGAGCACTACACTTAATGGCTGAACATTGCTTAGACTTTGGTAAAGATCCCCCACTATTCGGGGGCAAACAATCTTGTCTTTTTTATTTAAAATGGTAAAAATGTCTAAAACAACAGACAAAAGTATAGTTAAGTCTATAGTCTGGTCTAAAGTCTAGTCTAAATTCTAGTCTAAAGTCTAGTCTATAGTCTAGTCTATAGTCTAGTCTAAAGTCTAGTCTATAGTCTAGTCTAAAGTCTAGTCTATAGTCTAGTCTATAGTCTAGTCTATAGTCTAGTCTATAGTCTAGTCTATAGTCTAGTCTATAGTCTAGTCTATAGTCTAGTCTATAGTCTAGTCTATAGTCTAGTCTATAGTCTAGACTAGTCTATAGTCTAGTCTATAGTCTAGTCTATAGTCTAGTCTATAGTCTAGTCTATAGTCTAGTCTATAGTCTAGTCTATAGTCTACTCTATAGTCTAGTTTATAGTCTAGTCTATAGTCTAGTCTAGTCTATAGTATAGTCTATAGTCTAGTCTATAGTCTAGTCTATAGTCTAGTCTATAGTCTAGTCTATAGTCTAGTCTATAGTCTAGTCTATAGTCTAGTCTATAGTCTAGTCTATAGTCTAGTCTATAGTCTAGTCTATAGTCTAGTCTATAGTCTAGTCTAGTCTAGTCTAGTCTATAGTCTAGTCTATAGTCTAGTCTATAGTCTAGTCTATAGTCTAGTCTATAGTCTAGTCTATAGTCTAGTCTATAGTCTAGTCTATAGTCTAGTCTATAGTCTAGTCTATAGTCTAGTCTATAGTCTAGTCTATAGTCTAGTCCAGAGTTTAAATATTAGTAGATGCTTTTATATTTTTATTTTTGACTTTGCAATAAATATGCATTTACCTCATATTTAAAAATATGCATATTTAAAAAATGGTTCTGTTCAAAATATTTCTAGTATTTTTGCTAAAAATATTTACCCATACAAACTATTGCATATTACAGCTTACAGACAAATATAAAATGTTTTCACTTACAATATATTACGCAGCAACTCGCTAACATATTTATAATACCCACATATATTTCATATGGCTTGCCTATAATATTAAAATATTTTCCTACACAAATTATTCGCAGTCAACAATATTGAAGCCATGCGAGCAGTAATATACGAACATGAAATGTACGCAAGCAGAGCATATATGTGCCGACGAAAACACGAAACAAAACGATAGTCGCGACTATCAGGTTACAATATTTTTACTATCAAACTTAAATATTATTTACTATAGGAAATGACTTATGGTCTAAAATTTAACATTTCATGTTGAACTTGAAAAATTATCAAATATGAAAAATGTATGCAAGATATAACCAAATTTTATTTAGAAAATAATTGAAAACGTTTATATCTATGTATGTTTTATGTATATTATGGGAAAAATGTATGCATGAAATAACCAAATTTTAATTAGAAAATTTTTGTATTGAATTATTGAATGTATGTATTTATTAAATTTATGTTTAATTTTTATGTGGAGTATTAAAATGTATGTATTTGTATTGATTGTAATATAATTAGAAAAAAATTATATAAATACTTAGAGGATCATATGAATGTAAAAATATATTCAAATATGTATATATGTAAAAAATTGTTTTTACAGGCTATATTTAAACATATTGTTTGTAACAGGATGACAATAAGTTTGTAAACAGGTAGTAATGCATTAGTAGTGTCTATGAAATGATCAATAATGAAGGAAATTATAGGTATTTTAGAAATTTGTAACAGGATAGCAAAAAATTAAGAGGGGACATAAAAACATAAAAATTTGTTTTTGTAATTTTACATTGTGAAAGGTTAAAACAACAAAAATGTATGAGTGTATTACATACATATACAAGTATGTTTTTCATATGCATGTGTCACATTTCTATAAATTATTATTACATACACTCAATTATCTTACAATAATGAATGAACAGGCGCGAAGAAAAAAATATATAGGTGTTAATAAATTTGCATATGCCATTGCCAACCTTTTGAATTTGCATGAGAGAGACTAAATAATAATGATATTTCTTTCCTCTTCTCCCCACCACAAATTCAAGTAAAGCAAAAAAAAGGATCTTGCGTAAACCATCGTTAAGGAATGTGCGTAAAATGATAAAGTAGGAAGAGAATTTCTACTACAGGTCATTTTTATGACGAATGTATTTTTGCATCACACGTACATATCTTCTTCCCTCCACCAATTCAGGGAAAAAATGACCTATCGTAATCCACCGTTATGGAATGTGCGTGAAAAGTAGGAAAGAAAAGTGCTGTTACAGGTCATTTTTTTGACGAATGTGTTTTTTGTTATTGTTTCACACATACTTACATACATACATACATATGTATATACAAAACCAGATATAAATGGTGTTGCATATTTGAATATATTTTTACATTCATATGATCCTCTAAGTATTTATATAATTTTTTTCTAATTATATTACAATCAATACAAATACATACATTTTAATACTCCACATAAAAATTAAACATAAATTTAATAAATACATACATTCAATAATTCAATACAAAAATTTTCTAATTAAAATTTGGTTATTTCATGCATACATTTTTCCCATAATATACATAAAACATACATAGATATAAACGTTTTCAATTATTTTCTAAATAAAATTTGGTTATATCTTGCATACATTTTTCATATTTTATAATTTTTCAAGTTCAACATGAAATGTTAAATTTTAGACCATAAGTCATTTCCTATAGTAAATAATATTTAAGTTTGATAGTAAAAATATTGTAACCTGATAGTCGCGACTATCGTTTTGTTTCGTGTTTTCGTCGGCACATATATGCTCTGCTTGCGTACATTTCATGTTCGTATATTACTGCTCGCATGGCTTCAATATTGTTGACTGCGAATAATTTGTGTAGGAAAATATTTTAATATTATAGGCAAGCCATATGAAATATATGTGGGTATTATAAATATGTTAGCGAGTTGCTGCGTAATATATTGTATGTGAAAACATTTTATATTTGTCTGTAAGCTGTAATATGCAATAGTTTGTATGGGTAAATATTTTTAGCAAAAATACTAGAAATATTTCGAATGGTAGCAATTAAATATATTATATTCATAAAATATATTTATATTTTAATATTACATACGTATGCATAGGAGAAAATATGCATTTTGGTTACTAATATATTAGTAATTTTAATCACTGGTCTAGTCTATAGTCTAGTCTATAGTCTAGTCTATAGTCTAGTCTATAGTCTAGTCTATAGTCTAGTCTATAGTGTAGTCTATAGTCCAGTCTATAGTCTAGTCTATAGTCCAGTATAGTCTAGTCTATAGTCTAGTCTATAGTCTAGTCTATAGTCTAGTCTATAGTCTAGTCTATAGTCTAGTCTATAGTCTAGTCTATAGTCTAGTCTATAGTCTAGTCTATAGTCTAGTCTATAGTCTAGTCTATAGTCTAGTCTATAGTCTAGTCTATAGTCTAGTCTATAGTCTAGTCTATAGTCTACTATATAGTGTAGTCTATAGTCTAGTCTATAGTCTAGTCTATAGTCTAGTCTATAGTCTAGTCTATAGTCTAGTCTATAGTCTAGTCTATAGTCTAGTCTATAGTCTAGTCTATAGTCTAGTCTATAGTCTAGTCTATAGTCTAGTCTATAGTCTAGTCTATAGTCTAGTCTATAGTCTAGTCTATAGTCTAGTCTATAGTCTAGTCTATAGTCTAGTCTATAGTCTAGTCTATAGTCTAGTCTATAGTCTAGTCTATAGTCTAGTCTATAGTCTAGTCTATAGTCTAGTCTATAGTCTAGTCTATAGTCTAGTCTATAGTCTAGTCTATAGTCTAGTCTATAGTCTAGTCTATAGTCTAGTCTATAGTCTAGTCTATAGTCTAGTCTATAGTCTAGTCTATAGTCTAGTCTATAGTCTAGTCTATAGTCTAGTCTATAGTCCTAGTCTATAGTCTAGTCTATAGTCTAGTCTATAGTCTAGTCTATAGTCTAGTCTATAGTCTAGTCTATAGTCTAGTCTATAGTCTAGTCTATAGTCTATAGTCTAGTCTATAGTCTAGTCTATAGTCTAGTCTATAGTCTAGTCTATAGTCTAGTCTATAGTCTAGTCTATAGTCTAGTCTAGTCTATAGTCTAGTCTATAGTCTAGTCTATAGTCTAGTCTATAGTCTAGTCTATAGTCTAGTCTATAGTCTAGTCTATAGTCTAGTCTATAGTCTAGTCTATAGTCTAGTCTATAGTCTAGTCTATAGTCTAGTCTATAGTCTAGTCTATAGTCTAGTCTATAGTCTAGTCTATAGTCTAGTCTATAGTCTAGTCTATAGTCTAGTCTATAGTCTAGTCTATAGTCTAGTCTATAGTCTAGTCTATAGTCTAGTCTATAGTCTAGTCTATAGTCTAGTCTATAGTCTAGTCCAGGGTTCGGCAAACTTTTGAGTCGGAAGAGCCAAAATTTACAGTTTACAAAACATAGGTTATAAAAGAACCACAAAGTTATTTTATTAAAACTGCCGACGCGTCAAAAGTTGAAAGTTGCTGAACTTTTCGCGGCAGACTTTTTCAATTCTTTTTGACAGAAGCCTATAACGCGCTGCCGCGTACAACGCGTGTTGTGTACTTTCACCTTTAGAGTAGGGCGACGTGATATAATTTAAAATGCATTTGGAAATGAGGCATTCCATTTTAAATTTAAAAGATTTCCTATCACGAAAATTTATGACGCAGCTGCCATAATACAGTACAAAGTTTCTTAGTTATATTAATTAGGCAGCAATCGAGATAAAATTTTGCACAATTTTTTATGCAAATAGAAATTATACTGTGTGCATTGCCAATATAAGGTTCCTTTTAGAAAATGACTAAATGACTTAACAGTAGGAGTATAGCGACGAAAAAAAACTAGTTTTGTAAGAACAAAAATCTATCTTCGAAATTTAATTTTAGCGCTCATAACTTGCTGAATAATATGACGTAATTCAACGCAAACAAGAACAAAAACAAAAAAAATTTAAAAATTAGTCAGAACTGATCAGAAGTGGGGCTCATAAACGACTCGTTTAAAACAGTAGAAGCTAGGGTGCCATTTTCTCCCGACGAATGTATCATTTATGATCAGAAAATGAACGCAAATATGATCATTTTAATCGTGCAGAAGAGTCATAAATGACTCGAATGTGATCAAAAATTTCAAAAAATGCAAAAAAAAACGAAATTTAACACAAAGAAGTCGGAAAATTACACTAACGCTCATAACTGTTTTAATAAAACATATGCATTGATATAGCTACGCAATTCGTATTATATAGAACAAAAATTATATTTATAATTATAGGAACAAAAATCTCTATCCAAACTTTCATATGATCAGTTCATTGTTGACCACACCCCCATATAAATTCCTTTTCAGGAAACGACTTTAAAGGTCATAACAGGCTTAACTTCGTGACACTTCGTATGACGCTCATTTGATACTCCATTCGTTTATAGCAGTGGTGCTCAAACACATACTACCATAGACTACCATAGTAAAAGTATACTAATAAAATGACTACAAACTATAAAGTATATGCTAACTGTCAAATATTTATTATGGATATATCAAAGTCTATATATAAAAAACTATCAACTGTTATCTCATGTTCTCCTATATTAATTCGGCTTTCTCAAAATTTTGTTGTTGTATTTCTGTGTATTTTAAAAACGTCGCGCACAGACCTTACTTCGACAAGTGCTTCTGTGTTTCTGGTTTATAGGGAACTTTCAATTAAAAATTTAAAGAATTAAACATTTTCTTACTTGTACATGGAACAGATTCAATGGGAGAGAAAGGTTTTTATGGCTTTAGAAAGTTTGAATCATAGCTTGTTTAAAGTTTCAAAAACGAATCTAAACTTTCATTTGTTAGTTGGCTTTTTACCTAACTCTTCCAATTTGCTTTTAAATTTTGACAAATTTCCACAACACAAATATTTACTTTTCAAATTGATCAACTGCATTTCTAGAGATCCAGTACCAGTTCCAAATGGTACAATGAGAACATATAAACAAAAGCAAGGAAATGAGCGAAAAGCTAATTGGTTTGTTTTCGTTCGTTTTCATTAAAAATAATTTGTTTTTGATTTGGTCATGAACAATTAAACAAAGTTCAAAAGTTGTGTATATTGTAGAAACGTTATGCTAGTTTTAACAAAGACTGCTCGTTATTCGATTCAGATATTTTAAAATATATAAATATTTTTTTATAAAATAAAAGTGTGTATGAAACTAAAGAGCCACAGCTCCACATCCAAAGAGCCGCATTTGGCTCGCGAGCCGTAGTTTGCCGACCCCTGGTCTAGTCTATAGTCTAGTCTATAGTCTAGTCTATAGTCTAGTCTATAGTCTAGTCTATAGTCTAGTCTATAGTCTAGTCTATAGTCTAGTCTATAGTCTAGTCTATAGTCTAGTCTATAGTCTAGTCTATAGTCTAGTCTATAGTCTAGTCTATAGTCTAGTCTATAGTCTAGTCTATAGTCTAGTCTATAGTCTAGTCTATAGTCTAGTCTATAGTCTAGTCTATAGTCTAGTCTATAGTCTAGTCTATAGTTTAGTCTTTAGTCTGAAGTCAAAGTTCTTGTAGAATCTCAGAACGAATATTTCGAAATATGATGGTAAGAAATTTTTTTATATTTTAATGGTACGAATATTATTGTACTACACTGTACTATATATTGAATAAAAAATCTACAACATATATTTTATTGATAAAAAAACAATAAAAATAAATAAAATCATAAAATATAAGATAAAATTTCAAACATTTTATAATAAAAATAAATCAAAATTTTGCCACAAAAAATGTGATGATAAAGCTTAATATTTTTTAGTGAGTGTAAATTAGAACAGAAATATAAATAAAGGGGGAGCGAGAGCAATACTTACAACCCAGTTAGCCAAATTATAATAAATACTCCGGGAATGATTGTGGCGCGAAAAAGTGAATTTAAAAATCTATAACTTTCATACATAATAGAGCGCGTACGTTTTGTAATTTACTTATTTTCTTTCTGTATTTACAAATTTAGTTTTCGAGCAATATTAATTTAAAAAAAAGCACAGCTTTTCTTTTCTTCGAATTATTTGATTAGTGAGTGATTTATGCTATAACACAGAAAAAAACACTTTTTGTTTTAAAATTTCAGAGCAAATTTACTAACATTAACTGAATAATGATGATTGATGATGATGACAGTGGTAATGTTTTGGTGAAATGTTTTATATTTTTAAATAAGTTTAATTGTTGCAATTTCTTTAATTAAATTTTAGTGTGTATTTGTAAATACTGCATCTCTAATTTTTTTAATTTTTTTTTTAACTTAAATATTGTGTTTATTTTATAAAAACAATATACAATGTTGTCAGGGAAGAGATAAAAAAAGAAGAATAATAAAAAAATATATAATTATTATTATCATTGTAGTTTTGGTTTTTTGTTGTGTTTAATTAGTGTTAAAATAAATAGTTAATATAAATTATTAGTCAGTTTTTATAAAAAAATGTTAAAGTTATTATAAAAATATGAAAATAAAAGAAGACTATCAGGTCTGTCACACATTCCGATCGGAATGGTTTCAATTCCGTATTATTATTCCGATCATTTTTGTTTTAGCTTCTCCAAATTCCGAATTATTTCGTAAATTGACAAAAAATGAATAAAATTATATAGATTTCATTTAAAATTATTCCTGTTTAGCTAATCAAAACAAGAACCATGTTTTTAGTAAAGGTTCTTATTATTAAAACTAAGAAAAGCGTTAATTACATACAAATATCAATTCCACTTCAAAAACTGAAAGTGGTTTCATTCCGAAAGAATTTTTCGTTTTCTTTTTTAGAAGAAGCAAAAATACGGAAATAATTCTAGTCTATTGTCTAGTCTATAGTCTAGTATATAGTCTAGTCTATAGTCTAGTCTATAGTCTAGTCTATAGTCTAGTCTAGTCTAGTCTAGTCTATAGTCTAGTCTAGTCTATAGTCTAGTCTATAGTCTAGCCTATAATCTAGCCTATAGTCTAGTCTATAGTCTAGTCTATAGTCTAGTCTATAGTCTAGTCTATAGTCTAGTCTATAGTCTAGTCTATAGTCTAGTCTATAGTCTAGTCTATAGTCTAGTCTATAGTCTAGTCTATAGTCTAGTCTATAGTCTAGTCTATAGTCTAGTCTATAGTCTAGTCTATAGTCTAGTCTATAGTCTAGTCTATAGTCTAGTCTATAGTCTAGTCTATAGTCTAGTCTATAGCCTAGTCTATAGTCTAGTCTATAGTCTGGTCTATAGTCTGGTCTATAGTCTAGTCTATAGTCTAGTGTAGTCTATAGTCTAGTCTATAGTCTAGTCTATAGTCTAGTCTATAGTCTAGTCTAGTCTATAGTCTAGTCTATAGTCTAGTCTATAGTCTAGTCTATAGTCTAGTCTATAGTCTAGTCTATAGTCTAGTCTATAGTCTAGTCTCTATAGTCTAGTCTATAGTCTAGTCTATAGTCTAGTCTATAGTCTAGTCTATAGTCTAGTCTATAGTCTAGTCTATAGTCTAGTCTATAGTCTAGTCTATAGTCTAGTCTATAGTCTAGTCTATAGTCTAGTCTATAGTCTAGTCTATAGTCTAGTCTATAGTCTAGTCTATAGTCTAGTCTATAGTCTAGTCTATAGTCTAGTCTATAGTCTAGTCTATAGTCTAGTCTATAGTCTAGTCTATAGTCTAGTCTATAGTCTAGTCTATAGTCTAGTCTATAGTCTAGTCTATAGTCTAGTCTATAGTCTAGTCTATAGTCTAGTCTATAGTCTAGTCTATAGTCTAGTCTATAGTCTAGTCTATAGTCTAGTCTATAGTCTAGTCTATAGTCTAGTCTATAGTCTAGTCTATAGTCTAGTCTATAGTCTAGTCTATAGTCTAGTCTATAGTCTAGTCTATAGTCTAGTCTATAGTCTAGTCTATAGTCTAGTCTATAGTCGTCTATAGTCTAGTCTATAGTCTAGTCTATAGTCTAGTCTATAGTCTAGTCTATAGTCTAGTCTATAGTCTAGTCTAAGTCTAGTCTATAGTCTAGTCTATAGTCTAGTCTATAGTCTAGTCTATAGTCTAGTCTATAGTCTAGTCTATAGTCTAGTCTATAGTCTAGTCTATAGTCTAGTCTTATAGTCTAGTCTATAGTCTAGGTCTATAGTCTAGTCTATAGTCTAGTCTATAGTCTAGTCTATAGTCTAGTCTATAGTCTAGTCTATAGTCTAGTCTATAGTCTAGTCTATAGTCTAGTCTATAGTCTAGTCTATCGTCTAGTCTATAGTCTAGTCTATTAGTCTAGTCTATAGTCTAGTCTATAGTCTAGTCTATAGTCTAGTCTATAGTCTAGTCTATAGTCTAGTCTATAGTCTAGTCTATAGTCTAGTCTATAGTCTAGTCTATAGTCTAGTCTATAGTACTTAGTCTATAGTATGTCTATAGTCTATATAGACTTGTCTATAGTCTAGTCTATAGTCTAGTCTATAGTACTTAGTCTATAGTCTAGTCTATAGTCTAGTCTATAGTCTAGTCTATAGTCTAGTCTATAGTCTAGTCTATAGTCTAGTCTATAGTCTAGTCTATAGTCTAGTCTATAGTCTAGTCTATAGTCTAGTCTAGTCTAGTCTAGTCTAGTCTATAGTCTAGTCTATAGTCTAGTCTATAGTCTAGTCTATAGTCTAGTCTATAGTCTAGTCTATAGTCTAGTCTATAGTCTAGTCTATAGTCTAGTTTGTAGCCGTGTTTGCAGTCTAGTCTATTGTCTAGTCTATATTCTAGTCTGTAGGTAGTCTAGTGTCTATTATATAGTCAAGTCTATATTCTATTATATAGTCTAGTCTATAGTCTATTATATAGTCTAGTCTATAGTCTATTCTATAATCTAGTCTATAGTCTATTCTATAGTCGGGAATATAGTATAGTATATAACTAGTCTATAGTCTACTCTATGGTCTAGTCTCTAGAGTAGCCCATAGTCTAGTTAATAGTATAGTCCATAATATAGTATAGTCTGTAGTCTAGTCTGTAGTATAGTCTATAGTCTAGTCTAACGTCTAGTATATAGTCTTATCGATAGTTTAGTATATAATGTAGTCTATAATCTAGTCTATATCCTTGTCTAGCCTATAGTCTAGTCTATATCGTTGTCTAGCCTATAGTCTATTCTATAGTCTAGTCTACAGTCTAATCTATATCCTAGTCTAGCCTATAGTCTAGTCTATAGTCTAGTCTATAGCCTAGTCTATAGTCTAGTCTATAGTCAAGTCTATAGTCTAGTCTATAGTCTAGTTTATAGTGAAGTCTATAGTCTAGTCTATAGTCAAGTCTATAGTCTAGTCTATAGTCTAGTCTATAGTCTAGTCTATAGTCTAGTCTATAGTCTAGTCTATAGTCTAGTCTATAGTCTAGTCTATAGTCTAGTCTATAGTCTAGTCTATAGTCTAGTCTATAGTCTAGTCTATAGTCTAGTCTATAGTCTAATCTATAGTCTAGTCTATAGTCTAATCTATAGTCTAATCTATAGACTGGTCTATAGTCTATTCTATAGTTTAATCTATAGTCTAATCTATAGTCTATTCTATAGTCTAAAGGCTATTCTAATCTATTGTCTGTTCTATAGTCTTGTCTAAAGTATAGTGTATAGTTTAGTCTAAAGTTTAGTCTATAGTCTGGTACATAATCTAGTCTGTAGTTTAATCTGGTTTATAGTCCAGTCTATAGTCTAGTTTATAGTCCAGTCTATAGGCTAGTCTATACTCTAGGCATTAGTCTTTTGTCTAGTATATAGTCTAGGCTATAATCTGGTCCCTAGTCTAGTTTCTTTTCTTAGCTATTGTCTAGTCTATAATTTAGTCTTTAGAATAGTCTAATGTCCAGTCGATAGTTTAGTCCACAGTCTTTTCTATAGTCTTATCTTTAATCTTATGTCGAGTCGCTAGTCTAGACTTTTGTCTGTACTACAGCCTACTCCTTTGTCTAATCGTAGTCTAGTCTAGACTATAGGTAACATATTAATGAAATTAAATTAAAAATATTTAAAATAAACTAAAAACCAAAACATAAACTATGTTTATAAATTATTGTTAATTTATATTTAACTAATTAGAAGTTCTAATTTAGAACTAATTATTGTAAACAAAATAGCAATCAACCAAAAAACATTCAAATAAATTAATACATTAGTAGATAAACATTTGTATAATGACAATCACCTTTTTATGAAAGTCCGTCTACGCGTAAAAAGCATAACTAGAAAAAGAAAACAATTTTTATTTTTTTTGTAATAAAAAATAATGTTGGAATAATATATAACAAAAACAATGTACATAATAATATTATTAAACAAAATTTTATCATGTTAAAACAATAAATGACAGAAAATTTTAGAATTGTGGGCATGTGATAAGAAATTTAATACAACAAAAAAATATACAACAAAGTTTTATATAAATATATATAAACAAATTTGTATTATCAATTTAACCCGCCATTAATAAGCATTATAAGGTTCATGTGCGAAAAATTTTAAAAAATATATGTATATTAATTTGAATGGATTAATATCGAAGAATTTTTTTTTAATTGGTCGAATTGTGTCATAATTCTAATTATAATTTACCTTTGAGGTCTAAAAATTTTTATACATTTTATTAAATTATTTATCCTAGATGTTTTAGCTCAAAGACGAAAGATCTGTAGACACTTTAATCTAGCATCGCCTTTGCTTAAACTAATCGATATTCGTCTCAACAGGCATACATTAAGTGTAAACCTGTTGAAAGGGCTCTAGACTCCTTTATATTGAAAAAATTCATGGATTATAAACATTTTGCTGTGGTTGTCTTCCTTAATATAGAGGCCGCTTTCAACAAGGACAAATCACACTCTCTGATGAAGCTTGACAGATCTTCTGAGGTTTTTATGTAGATCTTATTCTCAAATAGAATCATTGAAACTTCAATGGGAGACTTAAAAATATCTAAGCGGAATGCACGAATGCTCTCTGCGCTTCTGCGGAACATAGCAATTGTCAAAATAGACTCCCTTGGTTTCAAAACGGTTGAATAAAATCACGTCTTTGAAACCTGCACTTCTTTCACTAAACTCTTACACTGCCACTTCGCTATTAGCCAGACAAAACAAGAATGTTCTGTCAAGACTGGGTCGCCTGTCTGTCCTTACTCCAGTTTAAGTCCTTGCGCATAGGGACTAGTATGGAAATGAGCTAGCCAGAACGGAATCTGTTCTGGATATATCCAACGTCGTTTCAGTAGCAACTACATTGGGTATTATCAATAGCATTATCCTCAGGTTCTTTTTTCAAAAGGCTGAATATATATGAAATAATCGAGGCCCATTTAGAGGGGCCAAGTTATTGTGGCCTTCATTTAATGATAAATGCACAAGACAACTTATAACCCGAAATAGCCGGAATATATCGAGGCTGATGGCAGTAATAAGTGGACACCGGTTGCTTGGCAGATATACAAGTCGGCTTGGGCTACCATTTCAATGAATACTATCGGATTTGCAAAGACAGTTGAAAGGAAGAGACAGTCTTCTCTGCGAATGCACTGCTCTAGCCGCTAAGAGAAACAGTTTCCATGGCAATTTCTTTATATCCAACCTTGTTGAGATATCTGGGCCAAAACTTAATGAACTCCTGAAATTTCTTACGGCTATAGGCTGGATCTAATTAGTTGTTATGACATTCTCTCAATGAGAAACGCGATATATCGAAGGTGATAGTAGCTATAACTATACACTAAGTGGTGGTCAGACATGCAAAACGGATTGATCTCTCCTTCAATGAATACTATCGCAGTTGCAAAGAAAGAGGAAAAGAAGGGACAGTCTTCTCTGCCAATGCATTGCTCTACCCTCTAAGAGAAACAGTTTCCTTGTCAATATCTTCATATCCAACTTTGGTGAGATATCTGGATCAAAACTTAATGTCTCCCTGAGATTTCTGACGGCTAAAGGCTGGATCTCATGCTATGCAATACTACATCTGACGAGTGGAGTGGTCCTGTCAAAACGGAGCCCCATCTACTCTACTTGACTATTCTTGCGCAGTGAACTACCACGATAACCAACCAACCATTTTTTTTAAACAGTTACTTATATGATCTTTTCCAGCTTCTTTCATTCGAGGAATTTAAAATTATCACCAACAGACTACTCAGCAACTCCCTTCACCACTTGCATAAAGGAAGTAGGGCTAAAGCTGGATGTGACATTCGAAAAGAAGAGACAGTCTTATCTGCCAATGCATTGCTCTACCATCTAAGAGAAACAGTTTCCTTGTCAATTTCTTCATATCCAACTTTGGTTAGATATCTGGATCAAACTTTAATATTCTCCTGAGATTTCTTACGGCTACAGTCTCGATTTAATACTATGCTATACTACATCTAACGAGTGAAGTGGTTCTCTCAAAAGAGAGTCCCTTTGACACTACTTGTGTCACATTCGATAGCTTGGTGTCACATTCGATAGTCTTCTTACGTTCTCCGCGCACACTAAACCTTCAAAATGAGATGTAGAAACAAGGTACTCAAGTCTCTAGCCGGCAGCACCTGGGGAATGGATAAAGAAACCTTGTTAACTACCCACCAAACGATTGGCCGCTCAGTGGTAAACTACGCTGCGCCAGTGTGGACTCCAAGAGTTAGCCACACACAGCTGTAAAGCTGTCAAAACGCAACCCTTAGAACAGTAACAGGTTGTATTCAAATGACGTCGAAAGAACATCTACGTGAGGAGACGAAGATGCTTTCGCTATGGAACACAACATCATGCTATCAAAGCAGTTTCTACTGGAATGTCATTCGAATTCGAATCACCATCTAACGGAGTTAGAATCCCCCCTCGAGGCATGTCAGAAAGATCTTCTTCTCTTTGAGAGCGACATCCAAGAACACCTTGATAAATATTATCCACCAAAAAGCGATAGAAGTTTCCATCAGTTCCCATCGCGATAGTATAGTTCTAGGAGGTCGTCCCCTACCCATTGAAAACGAGGAAGGAAACCTACCACTTAGCACTAGAGTAGTAGCTTTAGCTTATGGAACACAACATCATGCTATCAAAAAGATTTCTACTGGAATGTCATTAGAGGGGCCACTAGAATCACCTACTAACGAAGTTAGAATCCAACTCTCGAGGCATGTCAGACGATATTCGTCTGTATGAGAGCGACATCCAAGAACACTTGGATAAATACTATCCACCAACAAGCGATAGAAGTTTCCATCGCGATAGTATTGTACTAGGAGGTCGTATCCCATCCATTCCAAATGAGGAACGAAACCTACCACGTAGCACTAGAGTGGTAGCTTTCGCTTATGGAACACAACATCATGCTATCAAAGAGGTTTCTACTGGAATGTCATTGGAGGGGCTATTCGAATCACCATCTTACGGAGTTAGAATCCCTTCCGAGGCATGTCAGGAAAAATCTTCGTCTGTATGAGAGCGATAAATACCATCCACCAAAAAGCATTAGAAGTTTCCATCAATTCCCATCGCGATAGTATTGTACTAGGAGGTCGTCCCTCAAACAAGGAACGAAACCTATCATGTATCACTAGAGTGGTATTGGCACAACTAAGATCGGGATGGTGAACTCGTTTAAACGACACCATTCAAGATCTCTGTCCTGCGTGTGGCATGGGCCCACACAATGTTCAACATCTTTTTAACTGCAGGGCAAATCCAACTCAGCTGGTACTTGTATCCCTTTGGACTCTACAGATAGATGTGGTTCGTCTACTGGGTTTAGATCTAACTGATTTGGATAACCAGAGTGAGGAATAAGAAGAGTAGGGAATGTCGCTACTAGAACAACAACAAGAACCAATCATCCTCTTTCTTACACATATTTAAAAAGGAACCTCTATGATCCTAGCAAAAGTGGACTTGAATCGTAGTCTGTAAAGCCGGTAAGTAATTTTTCTTATTATGGCTGCCGTTTAGATTAATTGATATTATTTATACAAGAAAAATCGAGAAATTCTCAGGGAAAGTTCGTGAGATAACGAACACTTTGTCTATTCAAGTTCATTGCACAATTAAAAGTCTATGGACCTTAAAAAAACATATCTGGTGTAAATTTCCCGATCACTGCATTAGATTTCATTAACGATTAGCACAAAGTTTAATATATTCCAAGAAAATTTTGTAAAATATTCCATAATCAGCGGGATTTAATTACACTTATTGCGTCAAACTAAATTAAATAGTTTCAAGAAAAAAATCTACTTTTTTTAAATTATTAATTTATAATCAATAATTAAGTACTACATAATTCCATATATATAATTAATAACTAATTAACTTCATAATTATATTCAGTTGCCTTATTATTTGAATTAATTCAATAATTAGTTTGTTTATTCCTCAAACTGTTAAAAATCAAAGTTCAATTTCACTTTCTATTGTTTATCAGTTAAAATTTTTTATAAATTACTGCAACAATTTACAAAAATTAAATTAAATTTATTACTTTATTTAATTTTTTTTTTTACACAAAAACTAAATTCAAAGAAATTGTATGCAACAATTAATTAATTAAATTATTTATTTCAATTTATTCAGTTTACTGTCAAAGATCAGATGACAAAGAATAATAACAACAACAATACTAAAGCGTGCAATTACTATAGTAATAGTGTTGATCTTGTGGTCATAAGCATAAAACGCTTAAGTCTTAAATGGAAGTTTCGTAAAAACTTTTTGAGAAAAATACTGATTTCAAATCAATCTTGAGAATACTTATTAATACAATTCCTTTTAGTTGGTTATGGCTTGTAACAATAGATTTATATTATTTTACACTAATTTTATAAGAAGATATCAAACCAATAACATCTATAATTAGAGAGCAGTATGGAACAGGAAATACAAAAATATGAACTTATGATATTTGTTTTAGTAAAACTTGAACTAATTTTCTGCTGAATTTTAAATAATTTGCAACAACTAAATAATTTATTTTATAGCATTTCTTTGTTATTTTCAACATATTATTGTCATTTAAACTATTTACATCTGGTTGTAAATTAATTTTATTATATTTTTAATATTCTTTTTATTTTACATTTATTTGAATATTCTTTTTTTTATTTTTCTAATTTTCAAAATTACGACTACGTGTTAACCGCTAGACCGACCGTTACAGACTTAATGGCAACATGTGTCTATTTTTCTTTAGGAGTGCTTATTTTTTCACATTTCTGTTGAAGAGAGTACTTTTATTTAAACAAGAGTCATATGTGTTTGATAAGAGCAGTAGTGGAGCGTAATGAGAGCAATGTATTTGTACAATAATAAACATTATTTAAGTAATTTATTAAATAAATTAATAAAAAAAATACATTTCTTAGTCACCCTAAAGTTATGAATGATATTTAGCATTGGTTGATATGTTTTGAGTGGATTTGGTTCAGGGTTCTTTGATGTAGTTCTCCGAAATTTGTGGTGAAAGAAATATTTTTTTGTGTAAAAATTATTTAATTCTCCAAAAAAGGGAACAATAAAATAGAATACTTGATCAAAGACTGACCATACTATAATTGAGGAAGTATTTGTAGATCCTAATAGGAACTTTGAAATACACATGTTTAGCGTCTGGTTAGGTTAAGAACAATTCCGTTCATAGACCACTGAAATCCATTGTGTTTCCCTTTATAGAAGAGCTTAAAGGGATGTCATCTGATTCCTGAATCTAATAGCATTAAGATCCTAAATAGAATACTTGATCAAGGACTGACCATACTAAAATTGAGGAAGTATTTGTAGATCCTAATAGGAACTTTGAAATACATATGTTTAGCGTCTGGTTAGGTTAAGAACAATTCCACTCATAGACCACTGAAATCCATTGTGTTTCCCTTTATAGAAGAGCTTAAAGGGATTTCATCTGATTCCTAAATCTAATAGCATTAAAATCCCAGATAGATAGATAGACCGACCATACTGCAATTGAGGAAGTATTTGTAGATTCTAAAAGGAACTTTGAAATATATACGTTTAGTGTCTGGTTAGGTTAAGAACAACTCCACTCATAGACCACTGAAATTCATAGTGTGTCCCTTTATAGAAGAGCTTAAAGGGATTTCATCTGATTCTTGAATCTAATAGTAAATGATTCTTTCTCCTTATTTTAACAACTCTTGTGAAATGCATTACTAGGTAATTTCAGTCTTCTAGCATGAAGTCCGAAAGACCAGTGGCCAGTTACTACTACAGTCCGCTGTTCAAGCTCCCCGGACATTTCTATAGTCTGTATGTCGCTTCTTGCCCAGATCACCTGGCAAGCTCAAACAGCTCTAAACTCCGATCACATACCAATCCTGATCACGGTAGAGAAGCCTAGCGACTTTGTGGAGCCAGATAAGCGCACGTTCGTAAATTACAACAAAGCCGACTGGTACGGCTTTACGAACTACATAGATGACTCATTACGTCACTTGCCGCCCCCACATGTGCCAGAAGGGGTGAAGCAATATTTAGGAAAACTGTCTTTCAGGCGGCAAAGCGCTTTATCCCCGCAGGAAGAATCCCGAATAGTAGACCAAACTTTCCATCTCAGGCTGCACGTTCGGCAGAACAACGCGATCACCTTCGTGCATACAATCTCGTTGGTGACGTATGCAGATGATTGCACCGTCATTTCATCAGGTGTCAATATCGACGACATAAGCGCCAAAATTACACAATACTTGACCACCATTACAGACTTTTTTCAGGAACGCAAACTTAGGTTATCTGCTTCTAAATCCTCGGTATCACTTTTCACCTCTTGGACCAAAGAAGTAAGGACGGCGCTAAACATCTCCGTCGAAGGACGTACTATCCCCACGGCTCAAAACCCGAAAATATTATTGGTAGTCTTTGACAGCCTCCTTCACTTCGCAGGGCACGCAAACTACATCAAAAGGTTCGAAACAGAAACAAGGTCCTTAAAGCTTTAGCTGGCACCTCTTGGGGCATGGATAAAGAAACGATTGTAGCGACATACAAGGCTATTGGTCGCTCTCTTCTCAATTATGCTGCCCCAGTATGGACCTCTTTCCTCAGTGATACCCAATGGCGAGTGATACAAACGGCTCAGAATAGTGCACTTCGAATCGCAACCGGTTGTGTCAAGATCACGAATGTGGATCATTTACATGAGGAGACCAGGTTACTGTCAGTCAGACAACATAATGTGTTGTTGACTAGACAGTTCCTGTTGGCATGCCATCTGCCTAGTCACCCCAACCATCAGATTCTGATGGAGGATCCCCCTCCCAGGCACATCCGGATGGACTTCCGACGCTTTCGCAGCGACATCCAAGACGTCATACCATCGGACGTCGACAGACTGTCAATTGCAAGCGCCCGGGAAATGTTGCATCAAATGGCGGTCACCGAGGCCATTAATGGCTACTGTGGAATGTTCGCCATTCGTTTTAGGGATGTCCGGCATTCTAGGATTAAGTATGATGTTGTATAAATACCACTTATAGCCCTTAGGGCGGCCTGAATATTGGTGTATCATTGTAAATTCGATAAAACCTAAGTCCTGAATCTATTCGCTGAGTTGAGGACAAACTCTTGACCCAATATCATGACAAAGAGAGCATTTGATGGATTCGCTAATTTCCACCAGACAAGAGCACCATACTACAGTATATGCTTTACTAAGTACCATGTCGAAGATTTATTTGGAGTTTTTATGGTTTATACCCCAGGACTTCTCTATTGCTCTTCTGCATTAGTGTAGGACCAATGTCGCTTTGGTCACTCTTTGCAAATTCATTCGCCAAATCCATTGAAATTGGCAAAGTTTGATCAGTGGCTTGCTTCCAGAGAGTTTAGAGGCATATGGGTGCAGTGTTGTATCAGTAAAGGTGAACGTGATCTGATCTTCTAAATTTTGCTTCAATGATTACCTCTCTTTTTTAGTCGAAGATCCAGATTGCCCAGCTTTCCGACATATACAAAAATTGACACCTAAGTTTTCCTTCCATGTGGCTGAGGTCCGTCAAGACATACATATAATCACGTTAAACATGTTATTTGTAGGTTATGAATCATTATTTTAAATTAAAATTATTTTTGCAATTAATGAGCGTATAATTATATTTTAATCGTTTTATAAATAGTATAACAATCGATAAATAAAATAGTAATGATGACTTTTGCTATATATTTGTAGAGATAAAATAGTATTATAATTATGAAATACATAAAATTCCATTATATTGATGAGATAAATATGGTCTCTGCTCTAAATATTTTACGAGCATTTTTACTGGTCGTTCGAAAATATAAGGCAGAATATGATGTGGCTTCTGCTTGAGAGAATTTGGAACTAGAAAGTCCAAAACCTCGATCACCTACAATACTTTTCGTCGAACAGCGATTTGTTTCTTTAAATTTCATTAACTGTTATGTTAGATGAATATTGTTTTTACAGTATTTGGGGGTCAGTCCATTCTTTAGTTTGACGACAGACTTGTGAAGTTTACAAACAACAGTTCCTTTATTCAAAAGCAGATATGATGGGGTCTTAACTTATTCAGCTTAGAAAACCTTGGTTCGCAAGGTTTGAAATTTCGGATGTCTACTTGCTTATCTGCTAACCTAATAGTATCTATTTGTAAGTCTAATCATGCAACTGGTATATTAAATAAAAAGCGATGTTTTAAGTTCATCTTAATAACTGTCCTCTTTCTTCATTGGGTTGGTGACAACTGTGGACTACTAATTATCCTGAAGTTAAACAAAAAAATTTGTTAAGAACACATACAGATTGTTCTTAACAAATTTTTTTGGCATTCTTGTTTATTGAGTGTGTCTTGATTTACCAGGATTGGAATTTCGGACATCAACTCGTTTCTCTGCTAGCCTTGCTGTCTCTGATTGAAATTATAGTAACACTTGAAGAACTGTAAATTGTCTTCTGAAAAATACACATAGAAAATTTCTTTGTCGTGTTTTGTTGATATTTCAAACTGTGGACCACAACTTGCAAAATCCTGAAGTCACGTTTAAACCATTTTTTCACTTGTTCTCATTTACCAAACTGCAGATATTCTAGTTCAGTTGGGTGAGTCTTGGTTCGCCGGGATTTTAATTTCGGATGTCAACTCGCTCATTTGCAAGTCCCACTGTCTCTGCTTAAAATTGATAGTCGACTAGAAAAGATTCACGGAATTTGCTCTTTGCATAATAAAGTTAAAGGGTTAATGGTATTGATGGATCACTAAAGATCCTTGATTTCTTTAGTCTAATGCATTTCATTGTAATAGATTTCTTATCACATTATTAAATAATTATATAAAAAATTAAAAATTAAATTAAAAATCAAAAATATTACCTAAATTATAAACAAATGGAACTGAAAATAATACTTTTTTTTCGGAAAATTGCGCCTAGTTTTTTAGTGCTTTCAGAAATGTTTGTTAAATCCTTTTTTCTGTTAATAACTATGAAATAATGGACAATTTAAACACAACACAGCACACAATATAATAATACTCAAGTCACAGCGTTGAAAGTAATTTACTATTAAAGAAACAAGCACAAATCTGTAAAGAAAGAAAATGAAATTGAAATGAGTAAGATTATTAATATTTAATTGAGTTAGGAACTACTACAATTACAAAAAAAAATGAAACAAGTTTTAAACGTTTAATAGATAAATGTACGTAATAGAATTAAAGTATAATGTAATATTACATAATAATTGTGGTTAAAGGCTATTAAGGAAATTGAAAAAAGTTCAATAATTTGCCACAAATTATTTAAATAGTATTTTTCTTTGTTTTCTATAAATATAATTTCTTTAGTATTTCTTAAGTATTCTAGCAAAATTTTCATTTTTTAATCTATTTTTGCCCGCTAACTTAACTGACATTAATCACAAATTAAAGCTATTATTCATAAACAATTAGCAAAGTTCTATAGAACAATTTCGTATGAAATTTTGTTTTATAAACCTTTGATAAATTACTGCGAAAAAGGTCATAACTATAGTCTACTATAGTCTAGTATATAGTTTAGTATATAATCGAGTCAGTCTATGCTATTGTCTAATCTATAGTGTAGACTAAAGTGAAGTCTATAGTCTAGCCTATAGTCTAGTCTAGTCTATAGTCTAGTCTATATTTTATTCTATAGTCTAGTCTACAGTTTGTTCTATAATCTAGTCCATAGTCTAGTCTATATCCTCTTCGAGAGTCTTGTCTATAGTCTAGTCTCTAGTCTAGTGTATAGTCTAGTCTATAGTCTAGTCTATAGTCTAGTCTATAGTCTGGTCTATAGTCTAGTCTATAGTCTAGTATATAGTCTAATCTATAGTCTAGTCTATAGTCTAGTCTATAGTCTAGTCTATAGTCTAGTCTGTAGTCTAGTCTATAGTCTTATCTATAGTCTAGTCTATAGTCTAATCTATAGTCTAGTCTATAGTCTAGTCTATAGTCTAGTCTATAGTCTAGTCTATAGTCTAGTCTATAGTCTAGTCTATAGTCTAGTCTATAGTCTAGTCTATAGTCTAGTCTATAGTCTAGTCTATAGTCTAGTCTATAGTACTAGTCTATAGTCTAGTCTATAGTCTAGTCTATAGACTAGTCTATAGTCTAGTCTATAGTCTAGTCTATAGACTAGTCTATAGTCTAGTCTATAGTCTAGTCTAGTCTAGTCTATAGTCTAGTCTATAGTCTAGTCTATAGTCTAGTCTATAGTCTAGTCTATGGTCTAGTCTATAGTCTAGTCTATAGTCTAGTCTATAGTCTAGTCTATAGTCTTGTCTATAGTCAAGTCTATAGTCTAGTCTATAGTCTAGTCTATAGTCTAGTCTATAGTCTAGTCTATAGTCTAGTCTATAGTCTAGTCTATAGTCTAGTCTATAGTCTAGTCTATAGTCTAGTCTATAGACTAGTCTATAGTCTAGTCTATAGTCTAGTCTATAGACTAGTCTATAGTCTAGTCTATAGTCTAGTCTATAGTCTAGTCTATAGTCCAGTCTATAGTCTAGTCTATAGTCTAGTCTATAGCCTAGTCTATAGCCTAGTCTATAGTCTAGTCTATAGTCTAGTCTATAGTCTAGTCTATAGTCTAGTCTATAATCTAGTCTATAGTCTAGTCTATAGTGTAGTCTATAGTCTAGTCTATAGTCTAGTCTATAGTCTAGTCTATAGTCTAGTCTATAGTCTAGTCTATAGTCTAGTCTATAGTCTAGTCTATAGTCTAGTCTATAGCCTAGTCTATAGTCTAGTCTATAGTCTAGTCTATAGTCTAATCTATAGTCTAGTCTATAGTCTAGTCTATAGTCTAGTCTATAGTGTAGTCTATAGTCTAGTCTATAGTCTAGTCTATAGTCTAGTCTATAGTCTAGTCTATAGTCTAGTCTATAGTCTAGTCTATAGTCTAGTCTATAGTCTAGTCTATAGTCTAGTCTATAGTCTAGTCTATAGTCTAGTCTATAGTCTAGTCTATAGTCTAGTCTATAGTCTAGTCTATAGTCTAGTCTATAGTCTAGTCTATAGTCTAGTCTATAGTCTAGTCTATAGTCTAGTCTATAGTCTAGTCTATAGTCTAGTCTATAGTCTAGTCTATAGTCTAGTCTATAGTCTAGTCTATAGTCTAGTCTATAGTCTAGTCTATAGTCTAGTCTATAGTCTAGTCTATAGTCTAGTCTATAGTCTAGTCTATAGTCTAGTCTATAGCCTAGTCTATAGTCTAGTCTATAGTCTAGTCTATAGTCTAATCTATAGTCTAGTCTATAGTCTAGTCTATAGTCTAGTCTATAGTGTAGTCTATAGTCTAGTCTATAGTCTAGTCTATAGTCTAGTCTATAGTCTAGTCTATAGTCTAGTCTATAGTCTAGTCTATAGTCTAGTATAGTCTAGTCTATAGTCTAGTCTATAGTCTAGTCTATAGTCTAGTCTATAGTCTAGTCTATAGTCTAGTCTATAGTCTAGTCTATAGTCTAGTCTATAGTCTAGTCTATAGTCTAGTCTATAGTCTAGTCTATAGTCTAGTCTATAGTCTAGTCTATAGTCTAGTCTAGTCTATAGTCTAGTCTATAGTCTAGTCTATAGTCTAGTCTATAGTCTAGTCTATAGTCTAGTCTATAGTCTATAGTCTATAGTCTAGTCTAGTCTAGTCTAGTCTATAGTCTATAGTCTAGTCTATAGTCTAGTCTATAGTCTAGTCTAGTCTATAGTCTAGTCTAGTCTATAGTCTAGTCTATAGTCTAGTCTATAGTCTAGTCTATAGTCTAGTCTAGTCTATAGTCTAGTCTAGTCTATAGTCTAGTCTATAGTCTAGTCTATAGTCTAGTCTATAGTCTAGTCTATAGTCTAGTCTAGTCTATAGTCTAGTCTAATCTATAGTCTAGTCTATAGTCTAGTCTATAGTCTAGTCTATAGTCTAGTCTATAGTCTATTATAGTCTATCTATAGTCTAGTCTATAGTCTAGTCTATAGTCTAGTCTATAGTCAGTCTATAGTCTAGTCTATAGTCTAGTCTATAGTCTAGTCTATAGTCTAGTCTATAGTCTAGTCTATAGTCTAGTCTATAGTCGTCTATCTAGTCTATAGTCTAGTCTATAGTCTAGTCTATAGTCTAGTCTATAGTCTAGTCTATAGTCTAGTCTATAGTCTAGTCTATAGTCTAGTCTATAGTCTAGTCTATAGTCTAGTCTATAGTCTAGTCTATAGTCTAGTCTATAGTCTATTCTATAGTCTAGTCTATAGTCTAGTCTATAGTCTAGTCTATAGTCTATTCTATAGTCTAGTCTATAGTCTAGTCTATAGTCTAGTCTATAGTCTAGTCTATAGTCTAGTCTATAGTCTAGTCTATAGTCTAGTCTATAGTCTAGTCTATAGTCTAGTCTGTAGTCTAGTCTGTAGTCTAGTCTATAGTCTAGTCTATAGTCTAGTCTATAGTCTAGTCTATAGTCTAGTCTATAGTCTAGTCTATAGTCTAGTCTGTAGTCTAGTCTGTAGTCTAGTCTATAGTCTAGTCTATAGTCTAGTCTACAGTCTAGTCTATAGTCTAGTCTATAGTCTAGTCTATAGTCTAGTCTATAGTCTAGTCTCTAGTCTTTTCTATAGTCTAGTCTATAGTCTAGTCTATAGTCTATTCTATAGTCTAGTCTATAGTCTAGTCTATAGTCTACTCTATAGTCTAGTCTATAGTCTAGTCTATAGTCTAGTCTATAGTCTAGTCTAGTCTAGTCTATCTAGTCTATAGTCTAGTCTATAGTCTAGTCTATAGTCTAGTCTATAGTCTAGTCTCTAGTCTTTTCTATAGTCTAGTCTATAGTCTAGTCTATAGTCTATTCTATAGTCTAGTCTATAGTCTAGTCTATAGTCTAGTCTATAGTCTAGTCTATAGTCTAGTCTATAGTCTAGTCTCTAGTCTTTTCTATAGTCTAGTCTATAGTCTATTCTATAGTCTAGTCTATAGTCTAGTCTATAGTCTAGTCTATAGTCTAGTCTATAGTCTAGTCTGTAGTCTAGTCTATAGTCTAGTCTATAGTCTAGTCTATAGTCTATTCTATAGTCTAGTCTATAGTCTAGACTATAGTCTAGTCTATACTCTAGTCTATAGTCTAGACTATAGTCAAGTCAATAGTTTCTTCTATAGTCCATAGTCTAGCCTTAGATAGCTCGAGCACTAGAGTAAATTGTTTGAACAAGGACCGGTGTCAGCCATATATAAAAAGTGGCTTCAGCTTCTCTGTTTTATGTTGATGAGTCATCTCATTCCATAAAGCACTGATTATTTAAATTAAAAGATTTAAGATAAGTTAACGGTCCTTATTGTTAAAATAGCTCCACTTATTGTTTAATATCAATAATATTTCCTTATTAAATATTTAAACTCAATTTCTAGTCCCCCCTTTGTTTTACATGAGAACTTATATTTCACAAAACAACTGTTAAAATAAAATTGTTAAAATAAACTAGAAAAAGAAACTAACTTACTCATGACAATTCCCACAAGTCCCAAAGAATACCCCAACATATAATAATTGCTACTGACAACGCCCGCCTTATAGTAGTTTCAACAGATGTACAAAAATATTCAAAATTAATTAGACAGAAATAAATTGTACAACAAAATAACAAATAAATTTATATATGTACGCGTTTATAGCTAATGTAGGATTTTGTATTTGACGACTAGTAACAGTAAATGAAAAATAGAACTTATTAGAAACCTTACAATATTTACAATTATAATTGTCAAGAAATTAATTAAATATTTGCATATGTCCTAAGTATAATAGTTTTATTTGTATTGTATATTGATATAGAATTATAATTACTGTAGATTATTTACATAGCGGAAAAAGTTATGACAATAATGAATAATTTTATTTATATTTGTAGTTAGTTTCATAGAAATGTTTGCAAAATTAAGATTTTTTATGAGTTTGTTTGTGTATAATGAGATTTAAATAGTTTAGAATGAAAAATTTATGTTTTTTTAGGAGAGAATAGTGACTAGACTATAGACCAGACTATACACTAGACTGCAGACTCGACTATAGACAAGACTATAGACTATGGACTAGACTGTAGACTAGTCTATAGACTAGACTATGGACTAGACTGTAGACTAGTCTACAGACTAGACTATGGACTAGACTGAAGACTAGTCTATAGACTAGATTGTATATTAGTCTACAGACTAGACATGAATAGAGACGGTCTAGAGGCTAGACAAGCCGATAGACTACTCACTACTCTATAGACTAGACTACAGACTAGACCGTAGAGAAACCATTGTTTAAATTATTGGTCCTTACTAACAATCCTTTCCTTCACGAAGGGTAGTCATCTTGTCGCGATGTGAAGGCTTAAGTGCGATGAATCTCATGGGCCATGCTGACGGAGACAGCTTTGCTTGAGCTGGCTGCCTCCTAGGGGTCACCCTTGTAAGACGGGTCATGAGACGAGCACGAAACTAAGAACTACCCCTCCCACCTAACAGATGTCTGTTTCCCACATTGGGCGGTCTGTTAGTAACGATCTGTTGATTTGCTTCTCCTGTCACTGAGACAGGGCAATCAACAGAAAGTCCGTTTTGAATCATTTGATTCACGCACTTAAGTGTGCAAGTCCTGAAATCCATCAAGCGTCTGTTCCAGATTGGACGGCTTGATGGTCTGTTTGCTCCCAGTGGGACGGCAGTTTATAGTCCTGGCAGTAGGCCAAAAATGGGCGAAAAGCCTCCTGGCTAGGCTAAAGGGCTCCGATCCTCCAGCTGAGGCAGAAGTGGTTAGACCTGCTGCCGAGGCGCCTAAACGGCAACGATCTAGTCTAGTATAAAGTGTATCGATTGTACACTATCGACTTATTAATTTTTAAACTATTAACAACTTTATCAATCTTCTATTCCTAATGATATCATCCCAGATGGATCAGAACTGAAGCAGTTACAAATTCATCATTTACATAGGCAACAGATTGGCATAATAAGCAATTATGTATCCTGTATATGATTCTAACTTAGTCTTAGAGTAAGAGATGCCACTCTTTAGATCACAGATTAATTAAGACCAAATTACTTGTCCTTCCCAAGGCAATAGTATCTTAGATAACAATTGGATTCTATGACAAATCCTAATATTGAAAATATGTTGACTATTCCTATAACTTAGTTGTAGATAGAAGTAACTTATTTGCCAAATTCAGTGATTATTTACTCAACCGGTTAAATATGTATACAAATCACATACATATGTATGTATGTAAATCACAAAGAAAACTATTTTAGTATAATAGGGCACTCGTTTATTATTTTTGGCCGAAAAAATACCAGCCTCAAATTGTATAAAAATGCAATTCAATAGTTTTCGCTTATTTTAATTTAGAAACATTTGTTTTCAATGTAACTGACCTTGACTTTCAGATTACAAACAACATTGAAATTTTGTTGGTTTTCTTATAAATTTCCTCAAAATACTATACTTCAATAGACAATAAATTTTGCATCATTATAAAATTACATCAATTGCGTAGGAAAAATTGTTTCTGATACAAATTATTTTCATTGGACTTTCTTAAAATTTTTTAGGTGCAAGATAAAATTAATTAACAATACTTACTTACAAAATATACCATGAATTACTGCAAATTTTATATTTTTTATTTAATTTTTAAAGAAAACTTAATTTTTTTTAATAACAATAGTAAAAAAAAAACCTACACCACCTCTATATTTAATTATAATTATACCGCAACTGACAGACAGAGGAGAAAAAACATAGAAACGAAACTTTGAGGAGAAAAATATTGAGATAAAATCACACATACGACAATTGTTTTTGTTTTCCTATTGAATTTTTCACTAATCCATGCACATTACTCTCATTTTTTGTAAATAAATTGTGTTTTTTGACAGCATAGTTTCTTCTCTATGTTATGTACTCTGTTGACAGCTGTTCGATTGATTTTTTGTGTTTGTGCAGCATGTTCAGTGTAGTTTGGCAAGATTGTAGTAAAAAGTACTAATATTAAACGACTTTGAAGAAATCGCTAAATTTTATTTAAATAACCGGTAAAATTAGTTAAATTTATGAAAATTGATTTCTTATCTTTTATAATTTTAAAAACGTTTAACAACAAAATCTCCATAAATACCTAATTTACTACGACCATAAACACACAAAATTTGACGGCGGCTTAAAATCTGTTTAACAAGCATTTAGGATAATAAACGAAAATTAAAATTAACATTTTTCATTTAATATATAACGGTATTGAAATCCTAGAAAAAACTGTTATTTTTGAGACGCTTTAATTAACTTAAGTTAATTATATATTTGCGCCAATGGTATTTATTAGCAACGCCGTTTAGTCTCCGCTCAGTATGGCTCTGTACTCTGACTCAGAAAGTGTCATTGTGACAAACAAAGTTAGAAAACAAATAAGAATTTGCCAACACAAAGCGGCCGACAAATATAAACATAAAAACGAATTAGAAAATTAAGGTTTAATTGGGCGAAAAATGCAATAAACTAATAACGAAAAAAAAAACACATCAGTAAATAAAACATAAATAAATAAAATTACTACTAGTAAGGGCAGTGGCAGTCGAAGACCGCAAAAACAAAAGAAGAAATAAAAACAAATGAAAAATTAACGTTTGCGCAGCTGAGACAAATTATTAGAAGTAAAAAAGACAAGTGAAACTTAAAAAAAGAAACCTACTAATTAAAAATAAGACCACAAGGTGCAAAAACGAAATTTTGCTACAAAAATTTTAATTAATTTCCTAAAAAAAAATGAAAACATTGGAAGAAATTAAACAAGAATATCCCTTGCACTGGCATATCTGGCAAAATAATGTGGATGAATTAAGGGAGTTGCTAAAAAATGATAAAGTAAGTTGGAATTTACATTAAGAAGAAGGAGACCATTGGCCCTAAAGTTAAAAGTAAATAATGACAATTTAAGGAAAGGGTCAAGTGGCAAAAATGTGTAAAACAAGTTGTAAAGGAGAAGAAAACAAAAAAATTAAGGTTTCCGGGTCAATATTTCCGCATTAATAAGATACTATTGAAAAAAGGTGCCCTATACAGCAAACCTAACATATTTGTCATTAGTAGCTGGAAGTTAATTTAATTATATATTACCTTTTTTTGTTTGTTAAACAATTGTATTGTTTACCATTTAATACTAAAGCAAATTTATACTAATTTAAATTTAAAGATAAGCTTGTATTTTTGCTTGCACTTACTCATATTGAACTTCTATTTGTTCTAGATTGATAAGGAACAAATCGATCCCCGTGGCCGTACACCTTTAATGTTAGCGGTGAAATTAGCACATTTGCAATGTGTTAAAAATCTTTTAGCTGCCAAATGTAGTGCCACCTATGAGCATGAGGGTTGGTCAAGTAAGTTACGTTTAATTTGCAAATAAATAACGTGTCTAACTAAGAGAGGGCGTATCTAATAGATATTTCTTTTATTTCATCTTCAAGTTGTCCAGGAAGCTGTTTGTTCGGGTAATGAGGAAATTTTAACTGCCATACTGGAAGTACGTGATTTACAGCGTCATGTGCAAAGAGTTACACATGTCCCTAAATTATTGCAACATTTATTGGATGCTCCCGACTTTTATATAGAAATGAAATGGGAATTTACTTCATGGGGTGAGAACATAATGTAAAATGCAAAATTTTATGAAAAATTATTAATTCTGTTTAAAATTCTAGTTCCTTTAATGTCACGCCTTTGTCCTAGTGATACCTATAGAGTGTATAAACGTGGTGCTAATGTTAGAATAGATACGACCCTATTGGGTTTTGAAAATAACACCTGGCAACGAGGGAATCGTTCGTATATATTTAAAGGTTTAAGTAAGTTTTAATTTTTAAGTCTTAAGTGCAAAAATAAAACCATTCCTTCTTACTTTTTTCACAGAGGATAGTGCTACCATGATTGAAATCGATCATGATACCCATGAAGTTATGGTTGAACAAATGAGCTCCGATATTGGTGATATAGTGGCCATACCACCACCCATAGGATCGGTAAGAGCGCGCCTTAATGCTCCGGTCATAACAAATAATATAGAAATGGAAAAAATCAGTTTTGAACGTAATAAATCGGGAATATGGGGTTGGCGTAGTGAAAAATCTGAAGTTATAAATGGTTATAATTGTAAAGTTTATGGGGCTAGTAATGTGGAGTTTGTAACAAAAACAAGAATGGATCATTTATCAGAAGAACAAATCAAGGTAGCAATGGAAATTTTGGAAAATATTGGGAAATGGTTTATTTAAAATTTTTATTATTTTTTTTTTTTTAGGCTAAAACCTCCCGAACACCATTCCATAGCTTTTTAGGTTTAGCCGAAGATGAATATATAGCCAGTCCAGATTTAGCATCGTTAAGAGAAAAAGTAAGTAAAAGAACTAGAAGTGAACTAGAACTGAACTAGAACTGAACTAGAACTGAACTAGAATTGAACTAGAATTGAACTAGAACTGAACTAGAACTGAACTAGAACTGAACTAGAACTGAACTAGAACTGAACTAGAACTGAACTAGAACTGAACTAGAACTGAACTAGAACTGAACTAGAACTGAACTAGAACTGAACTAGAACTGAACTAGAACTGAACTAGAACTGAACTAGAACTGAACTAGAACTGAACTAACTAGAACTGAACTAGAACTGAACTAGAACTGAACTAGAACTGAACTAGAACTGAACTAGAACTGAACTAGAACTGAACTAGAACTGAACTAGAACTGAACTAGAACTGAACTAGAACTGAACTAGAACTGAACTAGAACTGAACTAGAACTGAACTAGAACTGAACTAGAACTGAACTAGAACTGAACTAGAACTGAACTAGAACTGAACTAGAACTGAACTAGAACTGAACTAGAACTGAACTAGAACTGAACTAGAACTGAACTAGAACTGAACTAGAACTGAACTAGAACTGAACTAGAACTGAACTAGAACTGAACTAGAACTGAACTAGAACTGAACTAGAACTGAACTAGAACTGAACTAGAACTGAACTAGAACTGAACTAGAACTGAACTGAACTAGAACTGAACTAGAACTGAACTAGAACTGAACTAGAACTGAACTAGAACTGAACTAGAACTGAACTAGAACTGAACTAGAACTGAACTGGAACTGAACTAGAACTGAACTAGAACTGAACTAGAACTGAACTAGAACTGAACTAGAACTGAACTAGAACTGAACTAGAACTGAACTAGAACTGAACTAGAACTAGAACTAGAACTGAACTAGAACTAGAACTAGAACTGAACTAGAACTGAACTAGAACTGAACTAGAACTGAACTAGAACTGAACTAGAAATGAACAAGAACTGAACTAGAACTAAACTAGAACTGAACTAGAAATTAACTAGAAATGAACTAGATCTGGATTAGAACTTAACTACAAACCGAACTACAACTGAACCAGAACTGAAGAATTGTTGCTTAGTTTATTTTTTTTAATTTATTTCCTTCTCTAGGCTCCCACACCTCATACTGAGGAACATAATACAGATGGCGGGGAAGAAGTAGCTGCGTCTAATAGCAATAGTCCTAATAATTCCGGTTCTAATTCTCCTAAAAATGTCATAACACCGCAGGAGTATTTTACAGCCTATGTAGACTTAAATGGTCGTGATATAGGGCGACCCAAAAAAGTTAACACTAAAGTAAGTTCTTTATGAATTTTACATTTCCCTAATAAACCAATTAATTGCTTTTCACTTTAGATTCAACGTTTCAAAGCAAATTTATGGCTTTGTGAAGATTATCCCATGCGTCTCCAAGAACAAGTACTTCCCATTTTAGATCTTATGTCCACAATGGCCAGTCCACATGTGTCCAAATTAAAAGACTTTATTACAATGCAACTGCCTTCCGGTTTTCCAGTTAAAGTAGAAATACCATTATTCCATGTGCTAAATGCGTGCATTACATTTGGTAATGTATTCGCCATGACAATGCCAATTGAAAATGTAACAACGATAAATGAAGAGGATCGTATAACATGTATTGTTGATGATCGTTGTTTCGATATACCTACACATTATACAAACAAGGGTATATTGTTTAAAAACATTGTTTTGAAGCTATTTAATCTAATTTGTTATAATTTTAAAAAAGGTGCTGACTCTAGACGGCAAATGCCTTTAGATGAGGATGACATGCTGCAATATGCCATTGAACAAAGTTTAGTTGAATCTTCTGGTGGTGCTTGTGGTTTAAATTTTGATGGCACTTCAACGGATAAGGTTGATATATGGGAGGCCTTGAGAGGACAAGGTGTGGGAGCCGATGATGAAGAGGATGAGCAATTACAAAGGTAAGCTTTAATAGTAGGATTTTCTTATTATAAAAAAGCATGCATTATTATTTTGTAGGAGTAACTAAAGTTATTTAGCTTTTGAAATTTAATTTAAAATAGTTTTTACTGACTCCATGGACTAAAAACTTTTTATAAAAGTCCTAACATTAAAATTTAACGTTTTTTTTACATTAAATTTTAACGTTTTTGGACATTTAGCGGTTTATTTTATTAAAAAGTAATTCAATAAATTAGCCTTTTTTTAACTATAGCCTTTAATGTGTTTTCTAGAAGAAAATATATTCCCAAAGGAATGAAGAACTAATTCAAAACACATAATTGGCTTGTGTATAATAAAGCATGTTTCTTCTATTAAAAAAAGAATAATCAAATTTAAATTTTATCTTTGTAATTTCTTTCCCTTATACGGTCCCT